AAATCACCCGACATAGCCAGCAGGGGCGGCTGAGGGGTCTGACGCCGAGAGAGGCCCAGAAGGAAAAAACAAGAAACTAGGCCTTCTCGGCGGTGGCCCCTCGGCTGTGGAACACCCTCCCAACAGAAATTTGGCTGGCACCCTCGCTGGGTGCTTTTAAAAGGCAGTTAAAAACTTGGCTATTTAGGCAGGCCTTCCCTCCAGTCAGCTAAGTATTTTTTAATTTCTTCTTTCCTTATCCTACCCCATCTTGGTAATCCTTTCTTAAATTAATTGTTTTTAACTAATATAGTAATTGTATTTTTTACGATTATATATATTTTATATTGATATATTTTATGTTGTAAGCCACCCCGAGTAGACATGGTCTAGAGGGGCGGGGTATAAATTTAATAAATAAATAAAATAAATAAATTTTTATCATTCAGAGAGAGTAATTAAAATAATTACTTCATTATTTTTCTACTACAACAGAATCAATGTTATACAGCCTTCTTAAAAAGTGACCAAACATAACGGCTGTATCCAAGTTCAGTTTAGTTCTTCAAAAGTATAACAGAAAAAAATGAGACAGAAGTCACGGAAGTGTATGCAAGCAATACATCAGACATGAGATTTTTTTAAAAAGTATTGTTATTTAATCTACAGATTATAATTCTATAGTCACTTTAAAAAAAAAAACAACACCAAAATTGAGGGTTAATTTACAGACTCTTGCTGATTAATCAATGTTCCAGAGCCAAGAAAGAAGTTCAGGCTATGTTTAGCAGTGACTATTACTTTTAAAATTCATTTGTTTAGTTTACAGTTAATACAACCCATTGTGGTAATACTGTTACTCACTGTACTGGAATACAGGAAGACAGAACTGGAAAATGAACAGAGGTTAGGCCAAAACAAGAGCATAATGTGACACAACCCTGGGAGGCATCCCTATTCACTACCTCATGTCCGGGAGATTCACACTCTCCACGCAACCACCATCCACCCAGTCGCCTACATACCTATTGTGCGAGTTCTAGTGTTTTCCCACAGACAACTACTCCCAACCCTTTCCCAATGCTTGGAGTTCACCCTATGAATTGAGAATTCTGGACAGTGCCACCTTGAATAGATAGCCCTGCCGGATCTATTCAAAATAACATAAAACCTCTGACCATAATTTTATCTGATACATAGATGTTATATGAAAAGGACCACCTGGATGAAACGAGCACTCAGGTCTCTAGCATAGCCTGCTGGCATATGGGTGTAACAAACTGTTTGACTGCTAGGTAAAAATTAATAAAACATAGTTTAAAAAATCAGCATGAGTAGAGTTTATGTTAGATAAAACAAAAGGGATTTACTATGAAACAACAAGTAGGTAGAGAGAAGGAAAATGTTAAGCTTCCAGATACAAAAACAGGAAGAAAAATAACCTTCATGTTGATTTTTTTCAGCACACATGCATGCGCAACACACTATACTCACCACTCCCTCCCACATAATCCAAACATGCATACAACCATATAAATGGCAATATGGACACTAATATTACATATTATATATACACAATACCTCCACATAGTGGAATTGCCACATATTGTGACAAAGGTTGCACTCTTTACGCTCAGAGTGGTCACAAAGCACTCGTGAATTCTAACAGCTTATAACACATGCACACCCACAAACACATATACAGTACATGTCTGTGTATACATCTACATCTATAAACACATCTTATAACATGCACATACGCACAGACAGACAGACAGACACTTATAAGAGCAACTAACATATAATAATATTTAAGCAAAACCCTTTGGCATATGCCTTGTTCAGTTGCTCGGGTAAAATTATGTTATTTTCCAGATGGTGCTTCTCTCTCTCTCTTGCACTCTGCATATGTATCAATTTTTGTGCATTACTGAACTGAAATTTACGAAACTAAGTATAAGTCCTGTTTAGATTAATAGTATTAATAGTCCTATAAACCAATGTAATGTTCTGGGTAGTATGCTGAACTAGGACTCTGAGACCTGAGTCCAAATCCTTAGCCATGAAACTCATTGGATGATCTTGGGTCCATCATGCTCTCTCATTGTGAGCTACCTCACAAGGTTGCTGTGAAAATAAAGTTGGGCGGAGAAGAGCCTTGGACACGGCCCTGAGGAAACTTTAGGAAACACAAGTCATGGAAGTAACAAATAATAATATTATTAATATCATAATCTGGCTAATTAGAGATCGTAACTAATAAATAATACAAGACGTTATACATTATAAAATAAACTGATTAATTCTTTTAAGGAAAAAGAAGAAAACAATCTTACTTACAGTCGTTTCATAGACTGCAAATGACTAAAGGTCCCCGGAACTAAATGAGATATTCTGTTGTTGTGTAAAAATCTGTGGAAATATTTACATGTATTAACTAGGATTCTGAATCCATTTCACCAGCCTTCCCCCCAAATGCAGTAATATGCAGTAGACTTTCTACTTACTTCTTTAAACCCTAAAGACTAAAGTTACTGCTGTGTATTTACTAAGCAAAATACTGTTGTGTGAAGTTATGCTGCCATAAACCAGATCTGGTGCCAGATATATTTAATTTAATCTAACTGAAAGTTTTGTATCCCCTCAATTCTTTCAGGTCTTTTGCCCTGGGGAAGCATTTGGAAGTGGAGGAGCCTTTAAGAGTCAAAAACTGCTGCCAAATTGCTACCATAGCTGACCCATTGGCAATTGTTTAACTGTTAACCCCCCACCCCCACCCCAATCCTGAGGCTCCTAAAGGTTTCCCCAAGGCAAAAGGGGAAACTTGCTTTAGGGAGCTTCAGAGCCTGAAAGGGGATGGTAGGATGGTAGGAATCTTTCAATAAGATTAAATTAATTCTATCTAGCACCCAATAGGTTTACACTGGTGTACCTTTATGCAACAGGGTTTTGCCCACTATCTTAAATGTGTTTCAACTAACAGGTAAGCAATACATTACAAATCTGACAAGTTAGCAGTGCATGGAAAAAGAAAACATGTTGACTAGGGCCAGCTTACTTAACCCCAAGTAAACACACAAACAACTTTAGTCACAGAAAATAATTTTGAACATCTTATTGGAAGTGTTTCAATGCAGCAGAAAGCCAGGACTGCAAAGAATTATCACACGTAAGTTGCAAGCTAGTTGACACAGCTCAATTACTGTGATGTGGCTACTCCTATGAGCAGTGGTGGACAACATGTGGCCCATGGCCACACGCAGCCTGTCAGGAGCAATTTCCACAACCCCTGAGGCCACAGAGGAGCCCCCTATTTTTAAAAAACTAAATGTTTTGGGTCAAAAAACAGGCCCTGTTTTGAGCAGGAGGTTTTTAAAGTGGGATCATGGGGGGATACATCTAAGGATTCCCACCCTCCACAAGACCACAGAATGAACCCCATAAAAAAATTAAAAAATGCCCTTTATTTCCTCTCCAGAAGGCCTCTAAGGAGTAGTGTGTGGGTTTTGTTGTTGCTGCAGTTTTGGCACTGGGGACTTGGGGGATGGAGTGAGGTTTTGTCACTATGAGCCCCACTCCATCCCACCCCAGATGAAACCAGAAGTGCTCATTTGGGTAATTCCTGTTTACAACTTTTCAAAAACAAAAGTGTTTAAAACGGCCATTTCTGGGCCTGGTGTGGCTTGAGACAGGGTTTGGAAGCCAAGATTTGCTTCCAAGCACACAAGGGCTGTGGACCATTGGTCTAAACTAACCTGGAACTGAAAGCTTAGTGTTACATCCAAACAAGCCAGGAATTGTAAACTAAGAAGAAACTCAAGTTGGTTGGTTTGGAGGCCAAGCTTTCAGTTCCCGGTTAGTTTAACCACTCCCTTGGATGCAAGGAGACAAATTATGAGGTCTGTGTGCACTAATAACACAACACTGAAAAAGCCCACTTGTTGTCCATGCTTACTATAGTCTGTGCAAGAGGTCACTAAGTATCAGTCTAGTTGGCAACTTCCTTGATGGTTAATGCACCATAAGAAACATGGCATCATGAGAAAGGTACTAAGCAGCATGGAGGCTCTATGGACAAAGTCAACATCTGAAATATTCTTGTTAATATAAGAAGACTTATAGCTTTCCATTCATTCCTAGCCCAAAAATAAAGAGTCGTTTCCCCCCCCCCAGCCCCTGTGTGGGACTCACAGCATTGACTTTTTACTTGCCAATTAGGAAATGACTGAATGTTACAGATTTTTTTACGCAACAAGATTTTAGTCACTGTTTCAAAAATTGGCAAAACAAATCCCTTCGTTTGCAACCAGTCCCCATACATGATTGGCAAGAAATCCTGCTTTCAGGAGAAAATGTTTAAAAATGATAAAGAAAGAAAAAAACTTACAGTCTTTCAAGTTTTGGAAGGTGGGTAAATGATTCTGGTTCTAATGTTTCTATCTGGTTAAAGTGCAGATACCTGTTAAAACATCAGGAGAAAAATAAGAAAAGGAGTGTTTAATAGAGTAGTTCAAATCTTTTTAAAAAAAAAAATGCAGGAAGAATATAGATTGTACAGCCTTCTTGTATGAAACGCAGAGTGCTTCGCTCCATAAGACGCACCTTTCCATAAGACGCACCAATTTTTTAGGAGAAGAAAACAGGAAAATATAATCTGTTTTCTTTGCTCCATAAGACGCACAGACTTTCCACACCCCTGTTTTGTGGGAAAAAAGTGAGTCTTATGGTGCAAAAAATACAGTAGATTGTACAGCCTTGTATGAAACGCAGAGTGTTTCCTCCATGTTCCACCTGCTATGCAGCTGGGAGGGGAGGAGCATTTCCTCGCTCCAGGAACCTGGAGGTGGGACTTGTGCATGGGATACAAGCCCGTCACAGTGTTGAGGGCAGCGCTGGGGGCAGGGAGCAAATCCTGAAAGGCTAGCCCTGCCGAAACACTGCCCTCCTTTGGTATCGTGAATTGTGGGATTCAGGAACATTAACAAGGATAGCCCTCTGAGGCAGCCTTGGGCTACAACCAGCTTTAAATCATGAGACATGGATTGGAAATGGACCTGAGGGCATCTCCCCAAAAGAGCCAGCCAGGACCAAGCTGGTGGCATACAGCAGGACCGTGGGGCCAGGGACTTGCCCAGTCTGGGCAGGAGAAGGGCTGGATGGCCCACCTGCTCCTGGCCCCAGGTTTACACACTACCTCGGGCTCTACTGCAGGTTAGAGAAGTAATAAAGTTGTGGTCCTTGTGAATCCCATCTCTTGTGTCTCACCTCTTTATTTATGGGGGGGGGCAATTCCAGCCTTCACACAAAAAGAAATAACTATGTTATAAAAGTCACAACCAGAAATTATTTTAGATCAGATTTATATCATGTTATAAAAAAATCCCCGGTATAAAAAATAGAAAATTAGAAAGCCTAAGAATATCATAGAATTATAGTACAAGAAAATGTTCAGACACTGGGTTTCCTCTATTAAACTTTAAACAGTAGCTTAAAAAAATGTAAAAAGAAACCAGTCTTGTCCAATTAATAACATACTGCTATAGATGATTCACTCACAAGTATCACTGATTAATAATACCCTGTGTGTTTATGACAGCAGCTTTACAAATCTAAAGCTTCAATTTTAAGCACATATACTAGGAAGCAAATTCTACCAAACATAGTGCATATTCCTAATTTACACACACACACACATATACACAGGATCACATTTGAAGGATGTCATCTTGTGTGTATCTGCCTGTAAGCAAGGTTGTCTAACTCCTGATATTTGCTCACAAGTAAACATTAGATCAGACTGTGAATCAATGAAATCTATAGCTCTGTTAAATAAATAAATTAATTAAATAAAAACTGGTATATATTTTTGAAAAATGTAAACATCAAAAAGCTCTACAGTGGTTCTGACTTCCCAGCTTCTCTATATTATCTGGTACAATAAGGAACTAAATGAACCTTATCACCAGAGGTACAACATTTTGAGCAGTGTGTTTTGCCACCATCTTCTTTAGGAATTAAGATAGTCAAATTAAAATGCCTGTTACTATCATTACCAAAACTGGAAGCTTATACACTGGAAGCTTTCACATTTTGGTGGCTCTATCATCCTATTTTGTGCATGGAATAGTAGCCCAGGGGGTGGGGTGGGGGTCATTGTGAATTTATTACGGTCGGGTGAACCAGTTCATAAAACATTTTATATGGCTAAAACATACAACATGCAATTTAAAAAGTGTACAACCAGTTAATAAAACATTATATGGGGGGGCCACTGTGTGCGACTACATTTTTGGTCCACCATTTGTTGAATGCTGTGGCTGTCCAGCTGGAATTTTGCAAAGCAAAAAGGATTACGGTTTTGTTGTTAATATCTTCATCACACGTCTACTTATCACAGGCCTTGGCAAAACTATACTACAGCAACACTTAGCTGAGCCTCTTTTGACTACAATTTTACATTTCTTCTCTAATTAGGAAACTTCACTTGAAATAAACAGAAGTAATTTAACTTTTAAATAGGTCTGATAGACACATTCATGTCACCCAATAGCACATCCATTTAATTTCTATAATACACTGGAGAGTAAGCAGAGTAAGCAGGAAATAATTGTGTGCAAGAAGAACTATGATATGCAGTTCACATCCTATATTGTTCTTATATTAGTATCAGAAAAAAAAATTAAAAGATCTGGACTTCATTTAAAAGATTTATGGTAAAAAATCTTGGGTAAAGGCTGGTTTTATGCTTATATTAATTACGGAGACAGAAATTCCATTTTTGTTTAGTGTGGCAAAGCTAGGATATTCTAGCCACATTCTAATTGTTCATGTTTTATACCCACCTAACCACATTAAGTGTGTACATACATATCTATCTGACATAATGATAGCTATTTAAACACATAAGACAAAGTATGCCTCAGTATGTAACTTAACATTATCACTGCAAAAATTCTCCAGACGTGTGCTTGCTGAGATTTCAGGAATGCAGGGCTGGTGGGAGTTATAGTAGAGAAGGAGGGTTACTTATCAGTCATATGCCTGCCAAACCTCACTTTGTTAAAGGTCCACTGCTTTCAGTGTTCTTGGGGACAGACAAGAGAGAATACTTATCAGCGAGGATGCTGTCTCGTGATTTTCCCATATGTGCATTTCTCTCTCTCCAGTTTAGCAATAGTATAGGGACAGAGACAGTTGAGAACATACATGTGGACCCAGTATTCGCTAATGGATGAGATGGCAACATTTTCCTTCGCAGGCAAAAGCTTCCATGATAGCGGACTGCTCCATAAAACCATGCATGCTGAACAAAAACTAGATTAACAGGGAAGAATTCAAGCTTATCCTTCTATTTGCCATTAGCTTTCAATGCACAGTGACTCTGGGGGTTGGGAAGAATCTATCCTGAGAACTTAAGTCTGAAATGGATCAATCCACACACAGGTTTATCAGCTCATGCTCTGTTTTTGTCCAGATCAATTTCTTAGATACAGTTTCTCTTACATACAGGGAAGCTGAGAATTTACAATCAAGTGGGCCCAAACATCTGAAACCATAACCTGTGACACACAGCAGCCAAAATCCTCTTTTATAGCTATGCAAATTGTGCAACATTTGGGGACAAATGGCTTCATTTCAGAAATTACTGCAGACATTATCAGTTCAACACTGAGTAACACAACTCAGTACATAACAGATAACACGGTGATTTCTTAACTGAAGGCAATTAAAAGTTACTCTGTTAAGGTTATGCTCCTGTTAGTAGGAAACAGGATTTTGGCTAGTGAATAACGAAACTTGTGCATCTTCATTCCCCAACAATGTCCTTTTAAAGAGCCCCTGCAAATATCTTATTCAATTTATGTTACTGTATGACATGATATGATGCTGTGGCAGACGGGAGAATCAGTGGCACGGTGAATTAATTTCATGTTTAAATAATGTGCCTTCTTCCCTTCCAGCCATAGCAAAGTGTAATCAAAATGAGCGGTAGCTTTAGTAAGAGTCATTGTATTGAGCTACAATTCTACAAGTACAGTAATTTAACCCCTCAAATACAGCTATTGTGAATTAACCTCTGATACTCTGTTATTAAGGGACGTGGTGGCGCTGTGGGCTAAACCGCAGAAGCCTGTGCTGCAGGGCCAGAAGACCAAGCAGTCGTAAGATCGAATCCACACAATGGAGTGAGCGCCCGTCACTTGTCCCAGCTCCCGCCAACCTAGCGGTCCGAAAGCATGTAAAAATGCAAGTAGATAAATAGGGACCACCTCGGTGGGAAGGTAACAGCATTCCGTGTCTAAGTCGCACTGGCCATGTGACCATGGAAGATTGTCTTTGGACAAAACGCTGGCTCTATGGCTTGGAAACAGGGATGAGCACCACCCCCTAGAGTCGAACACGACTGGACAAAAATTGTCAAGGGGAACCTTTACCTTTACCTTTATACTCTGTTATTAATATTCCACAAAGAGTAAAGTCAACAAGGCAATTTTGTAATAGTCAAGAACAATGAAAGTTACATGATTCTTTATATAGGGAAGAATCATTTTGCAAGATGAAATCAGAATCTGTTGAGCATTATTCCTTCCACCTCCAATTAAAATGTGCCACCACCTGAAATGTGTGAGCCAAAATCTTCACTGGTGCTAATTTTAACTTTTAACATGCAAAACTCAAAAGCGTAATCATGCACATTGAATACGTGTAGTATTTTCCCCAAAAGCATTAGCTGGAAAAGTGAGTAGTTCTACTTGGACTAATGAAAAGATTTATTCAAGGGTAGCAGAAAGTCCTACATTGTTTCATACTGCAAACTTAGGTGTTAAATTGTTATGTCTGTCTAAAACACCTAGGAACCCATTGAAGACAGAAGTATGCTAAAAAAAAGAGCCTGATGGCTTAGAGCAGTGATGGTGAACCTATGGCATGCATGCCACAGCTGGCACACAGAGTCCTCTCTGTGGGCACACGAGTCATAAGTTGCCATAGAGAAATACTTTACCTGTCCTCCGATCCCGGATTTCGGCACTACCCTCTGTTGGTGCAGTGGTCCAGCGGAGGGGTGCAATGGCGACCATTACCGGTCTAGCCCAATGGGGGATTGGAGGACCAGTATGTGTTTATTTGTTAACAACGCCCATAGGAAAAAAACAACAACTAAGTATTTAACCCTGGCAGTGCAGGAGCAGTTGTTTTTTCTAAACTAAAACCTCAGCATTCGGGTTTAAGTTGCCGTATTGGCACTTTGAAATAAATAAGTTGATTTTGTGTTGCAGTTTGGGCACTCGGGCTCAAAAAGGTTCACCATCACTGGCTTAGATTCACCTCCTAAGAGAATATCATCTGGTGCAACTTCAATCATGCTTGTTCATAAAGATAATCCTGCCAGTGGCGATTGTCATTAATTAGACTTCCCTCTCCTGTCCTGAAGCCTCCACAGCTTATTGATGATCAAAAAAACTACATAGGAGCTTTGGGATCTTCAGGAGAGAAGCTGGAAATACTGAATTTCAAAAACAAACAAAGAAGCCAAAAACAAATATAACATCTCCTTTAAAAACTTTTGCTTTACATGGTATACATTATGGCAAAAAGATTTCAGCCAATACTGTACAGAGGTTTTTTAATTTATAGCAAAACCTTCTTGTAAGCAGTGCAGAACAACAACATTTAAATACTGCTGGAACACAGTTCAATATGCGTACGGAAAAGCCATTGCAGTGTATAGTAAATCAGCATTTTTGCAAATTCTCATTTACTATGCTTAATTTGCATGCTGGTGCATGTACCTTATTCTCTTTCACTTGTCTCTTCCTGCTAACATGAAAAACTCACTAAAACAAGAATTGTAGTTTAGCATGTTGTCCAAATCCAGAATCCCGGATTGTTACTCCCAACCCAAGACAGGATTTGTAATCTAAATATAAATTTTAGTCTTCAGTCCTAATTTGCAAATAGCAGAAACAAAACAAAAAAGAAAATGGATCCCAGGTTTGGACAACACCATAAACAAACCATGTCTACTGCACAATTTAGTTCAAAGTAAACATGATTCATCAGTGTGGTATGAAAGCAGGTTTTATGTTGGGTATCTGAAGAAAAATTAAATCATGTAGAATGGAATGGCATATACCGTATTTGAGTAAAATTCACATGTGTAAATTTTGATTGGTCATGAGAGTTAAACTGAAACTTTCATACTCAAGAAGCAGTAAAACTCTGATTATTATTAAACAGAAGATAGCTTTCTCCAACAAGACTGGATAGCTCAGTGATTTGGGTATGGTTGGGAGTTTGATTCCTCACTGTGCCTCCTTGACAGGGACTGGACTTGATGATTCATAAGATCCCATCCTGCTTTGTGATTCTAAAATTACCTCCAACATGTCATTCTTACAGGACTTCCAGTGGTTCTGGGAAATTTGAACAATTCAGAAGTCATTTTTAGGGTGTATAAATATAACCCATCAATTACTTTTATCCTCTAAAAAGTGATCAAATATGAAGAAGGCTATTTTAAATGAGGTTAAATGAGACACAAATGCAAATGGAGACATACAGAAATAGGGTCCACCTCTCACTTCCATACATCGTTACTGGAAAAAACATAATTCCTACTATGCGGACCATTGTTGGCAAGGTGATATCTCTACTTTTTAAGATGCTGTCTAGGTTTGTCATCGCTTTCCTCCCAAGAAGCAGACGTCTTTTAATTTCGTGGCTGCTGTCACCATCTGCAGTGATCATGGAGCCCAAGAAGGTAAAGTCTGTCATTGCCTCCATATCTTTCCCTGCTATTTGCCAAGAGGTGATTGGACCAGTGGCCATGATCAGATTTTTTTTGATGTTGAACTTCAGGCCATATTTTGCTCTCTACTCTTTCACCCTCATTAAAAGCTTCTTTAATTTTACCTCACTTTCTGCCATCAGAGTGGTATCATCTGCATATTTGAGGTTGTTGATATTTCTTCCAGCAATCATAATTCTGGCTTGGGATTCATCCAGTCCAGACAATATACAGCCTTCTCATACTCCTTTCCCAATTTTGAAGCAATCAGTTGTTCCATATCCAGTTCTAACTGTTGTTTCCTGTCCCACATATAGATTTCTCAGGAGATAAATAAGGTGGTCAGGCACTCCTATTTATTTAAAAACTTGCTATAGTTTGTTGGGGTCTACACAGTTCAAGGCTTTTGTGTAGTCAATGAAGCAGAAGTAGATGTTTTTCTGGAACTCTCTGGCTTTCTCCATAATCCAGCACATGTTGGCAATTTGGTCTCTAGTTCCTCTGCCCCTTCGAAATCCAGCTTCTACTTCTGGGAGTTCTTGGTCCACGTACTGCTGAAGCCTACCTTGTAGGATTTTGAGCACAACCTTGCTAGCGTGTGAAATGAGTGCAATTGTACGGTAGTTGGAGCATTCTTTGGCACTGCCCTTCTTTGACATTGGGATGTAGACTGATCTTTTCCAATCCTCTGGCCACTGCTGAGTTTTCCAAACTTGCTGGCAAATTGAGTGCAGCACCTTTGCTTTCTTGCATTTCCTTTTCTTTGGGATGGTTTTTGTTGCTGCCTCCTGTACAATGTTATAAGCCTCCTTCCACAGTTCTTCAGGCACTCTGTCCACCAAATCTAGTTCCTTAAATCTGTTGTTCACTTCCACTGTGTATTCATAAGGGATTTGGTTCAGATTATACCTGACAAGCCCAGTGGTTTTTCCTTTTTTCTTCCGTTTAAACTTGAATTTTGCTATAAGAAGCTGTTGGTCAGAGCCACAATCAGCTCCAGGTCTTGTTTTTGCTGACTGTATAGACCTTCTCCATCTTTGGCTGTGGAGAATATAATCAATCTGATTTTGATATTGCTCATCTGGTGATGTCCATGTGTAGAGTCATCTCTTGTGTTGCTGGAAAAGAGTGTTTGTAATGACCAGCTTGTTCTCTTGGCAAAACTCTATTAGCCTTTGCTCTGCTTCATTTTGAACTCCAAGGCCAAACGTACCTGTTGTTCCTTTTATCTCTTGGCTCCCTACTTTAGTATTCTAGTCCCCTATCATGAGAAGAACATCTTTCTTTGGTGTCAGTTCTAGAAGGTGTTGTAAGTCTTCACAGAATTGGTCAATTTCAACCTCTTCAACATTGGTGGTTGGTGCATAAACTTGGATTACTGTGATGTTGAAAGGTTTGCCTTGGATTCGTATTGAAATCATTCTATCATTTTTGAGATTGTATCCCATTACAGGTTTTCCCACTCTTTTGTTGACTATGACAGCTACTCCATTTCTTCTACAGGATTCTTGCCCACAATAGTAGATATGATAATTGTCTGAATTGAATTCACTCTTTCCCGTCCATTTTAGCTCACTGAATCACAGGATGTCAATGTTGATTCTTACCATCTCCTGTTTGACCACATCCAGCTTACCAAGGTTCATAGATTTTACATTCTAGGGCTTTATGCAGTATTTTTCTTTGTAGCATCGGACTTTCCTTTCACTTCCAGGCATATCTGCAGCTGAGCATCCTTTTGGCTTTGGCCCAACCACTTCATTAGCTCTGGTGCTACTTGTCCTTGTCCTCCGCTCTTCCTCAGTAGCATGTTGGATACCTTCTGACCTGTGGGGCTCATCTTCCAGCGTCATATCTTTTACCCTTTTGTTTCTGTCCATGGACTTTTCTTGGCAAAGATACTGGAGTGGCTTGCCAGTTCCTGCTCCAGGTGGATAGCGTTTAGTCAGAACTCTCCACTATGACCTGTCCCTGCACTGCATAACCCATTGCTTCTCTGAATTACTCAGGCCCCTTCGCCATGACAAGGCAGTAATCCATGAAGGGGAACAGATATCTCTATCACTATGATATCAGATTTAAGCCAAAATATTAACTGCAGCAAATCAAAATCCTCTTTAACTCTTGTGCACAAACTCAGCTGCATTTGATAGGATTCTTTCAACATAACAGAAGACTGTTGTCTACAATACACTGCAGATTTTGAATACATTATTTTTCATTAGGAGTCAATCTGAACATGAGGATTTGCTCATTTGAAAATGGTATTACCAACAAAATTCAGCAGATAGGGATATTTCAGAGGCAGTCTATTGAAAGTACTGCCTCACTCAAAGACAATTTCTCCATTATTTAACAGACATTCTGATTTAAACCACAGCAACAAGACAGTTTAACTGGCTTTTTCTCTTAGACTCCAAAAAATGGCATGCATAAATGGTTCATGCTTCCTGTGATGGTCTTGAGGAGCAATTAAAAGAAGAATATTGGTAGACTGCTGCTTTTCTTCAACAGATTCTCTTACACCTTCTAAAGGACAGTCCTTCTAAACTTGAAATCCAGAAATAGTTCAGCTATCTGAATATTATTAACAATTTTTCTATAATTACTGCGAGATTTTCCCCAACTGAAATGAGTTAGAAACATATCACTATATAAGTATTTTAATTGAAACAGTATAAAAATCAAAGCCTTGATCCTTTTTAGTTGGAGATTATAAAGTAACTCCATTAAAGTCAAAAAGTTAAAAGCAATTTTGTTAAAGAACAGGAGTCTTGATTCCTACTACAATTTATATTTAATGTTCCTTACTACAATTGTGCTTGCCCCTAAAAGTATGTTGAGTAGTCTTAATATGTAAACCACAAATACAGCATGAACATAGAAAGAAAGAGTTTGACAGACATTATTTTCTGTGTGCCAGGGGCTACAACAACCACATTGGATCAAAACCCATTCCGTGCAGACATGCAAGGCATGCAGGCAAGAAATGTTGAAAAAACGTGCACTTTTCCTCTGAGGCAACCAGGCAGATGACAGCACAGAAGAGAAAAGGCACTTACAGTTGTTCTAGAGAGGCAAGTCCTTTAAATGCTTGCCTGTCAATTGACTGGATTTCATTCTTGTACAAATAGCTGAAACAAGAAACAATCAGTAATATTAGTATACATAAACAAGAGCCACATTAATGTGGGAAGGAATTAAGGTGACACATGAAGACAGTCTTCCAAATACACATTAGAAAGCAAACAAAACAAGACATATATACACATCAATAACAAGATTCTTTCATTCAAGAATCCCTTTCTCAGTTAAGTAGAGTCCAAAAACAAATGATGCAGGCCTTAACAACAACATGGATTTTGATCTATTTGCTTCTTTTGGAAGCTATCTCCTTAAAATCATCAATACGTTTGTGAGCCACTTGCTACAGTCCTTTTTCCTGGCCAGAAATACAGAAGGAATTCTTTCCTTAGAGGACCATGGCAGTGAGAGTTACTAATAAGACTGGAATAATACATTCCAACAATCAATTTCAAAATTGTTTCTAATCCGGCCTCCTTTTATTTCAACCAATCAATCGTTGCTCTTTTCAAAATGCAACAAAATTCTATCTATCTATCTATCTATCTATCTATCTATCTATCTATCTATCTATCTATCTATCTATCTATCTATCTATCTATCTATCTATCTATCTATCTATCTATCTATCTATCTATCTATCTACACAGCCCAAATATATAAAATATTATTCTATCAAACCAGTCAGATTTATAGGATTTGATCACTAAAGGTTCAATACATAAGGTAACGGTTACCGGGGACAGTTTACAAAGTCACTAACGAACTAAGTTGTTCAGAAACTTGACATATTGATAGGTTACATCACAGGGCTGTGGTCAACTCTCTTGCTAAATAATGAAGTACAGTAACACCCTGCTTAGCGCTCAGAATGGGTTCCCATAGATTGGAGCACTAACTGAATCAGGGCTGAATAGGGCAGTTTATCATTGTGACTTGTGGCAGTTCTGGAGGCCCAGTCTATTTCCAATGTGAACCAGGTAGACGTGAAGGCCTGGTCTCTCTCCTTTAGGTAGACCAGGCCTTCATCAAGCACCACAAAACAACTGCTTGAGCATGCACCCTATTACAAAATGAGTGCTGTATGGGGACCATGTTATGTTACACAACTACAAACATTAGGAACTGAAAGGTACAAATATTTCTCTCGAGCAATGAGATAGGTTTTCCTTTGTTGTTAACTTGATCTATTGTTTAATAAATTAGACAAAATAGAGAAAGCACAAAAGAAAGAGATAGCAAAAAAGACAGTTTTCATGAGCTTTTAAAAGAAGTCCTACCAATTTCTGAAAGCTTGAGGTCTTTACCTGTGACTTTTATCCAAATAAACGACGTAGCATGGCCATTATAAGGAGAAAATTGTGATTTTCTAACTCCTCCAACTTTGGGCAAGACTAGTTTTTGGTGGAACATATTTGCTCTTGGATCACATTTCCTGGGAAAGGGAGGATTTCAAACAGCACACTTACATTCAGACTTATGAGTAATGCCTCTTTTTATGGGACAGTCTAAAATTGCAGTTTCCTGTTATGTGTAAATATATGTGGCTTCCTTAGACATACTGCTAGGAACTGATTAGGAAACCATGGTCTTCTTTGAAATCAGGTATACTGATGCTTTATTCATTTATATACTCCCTGCCCCCTCCCCTTACCTTAGTTATTTAATAAAGTCAGACTTTTACTTTCTTTACATTGGTATCTGAGTGTTCCTGTGTTTCAATACCAAGGAATCCCCTTGTTTTTTGAAACATGGTCACACCGATGCCTTTTTGTGTATCTTTTTTTGTTTCCATATATCCTTTTAATTTCCACCCCAAGAAGACATCAGAACACAATCCCAGTCGTCATCTCACTTCCTTGTGGAATATTAAGGGTGTGGAAGAGCTAAAATGAAACATGGGTTTTCCTAATGTTAATGTTTACAAACACCATTACATAATTAGCTGTTCAATCTAAGTGATCCACAATCTAAGTGATCCATAAATACATCTTTGTATTTAATGGGCTTTGTCTAGGCAAATGGAGGGTTCCCCCTCCACTTTTAGGAAACCAAAGATTGAAATACACCTTTTTGTTTAATTAGGGTAGAGGTTAGAGTGCAAAATAATATCTCAAAGTTCCCATACTTTGATTAAGGAAAAGAGGTTGATCCATGGTTTGAATATTCTCACTTTTGACAGAGTATAGCTTAAACCTTATCTTTTGCTTTTAAGCCAAAGGTTGTTTTTCTTTGGAAAATTGGGATTTTCATCTGAGCTGCTGGAAAAGATCTGCTTAGAAACCTTAAATTGCTTCCTGCTCTACTACTTATATACTCAGGAGCAAAGATCACATGAGAGAAGAAAAATGTTAAACGAGTTTGCTGAGCTCAAGAGGAAGGAAGAGAAAGAAGCAAAACACATTTATGTGGGTGGAATGCTCATCCAACAAGAAGTTCATTAATTTTCTTTTAAGCAGGCCAAGGTTAGTAAACACTTTTAAAAAGCAAATGTCTCAGATAAGTATGTTTATAAACACAGGATAGAATCCTAAGAATTAATATCTGGATGTTAAACGAGTTTGCTGAGCTCAAGAGGAAGGAAGAGAAAGAAGCAAAACACATTTATGTGGGTGGAATGCTCATCCAACAAGAAGTTCATTAATTTTCTTTTAAGCAGGCCAAGGTTAGTAAACACTTTTAAAAAGCAAATGTCTCAGATAAGTATGTTTATAAACACAGGATAGAATCATAAGAATTAGTATCTGGAATTAACTACCCTGTTTCCCTGAAAATAAGCCCTACCCTGAAAATAAGCCCTAGTATGATTTTTCAGGATGATCATAATAAAAGCCCTACCCCCAAAATAAGCCCTAGTTAAGTGACACCCCGCCCTCTACCATTGTGCAGCATTGTGCAGCAACCAGAAGATGACATGACTGTAAAATAAAACATCCCCTGAAAATAAGCCCTAATGTGTTTTTTGGAGCAAAAATTAATATAAGACCCTGTCTTATTTTCCGGGAAACATGGTACCACTCACATCCTAGATAGCAACACATTACTATTTATATAACACTCTGAAATAGCAAGGTCTTTTATCTTACTTGGTATCCTAACAATCCCAAAATGATAGTGATTCCCAGTTCAGTTTTACAGATTAAGTGACTATAGCCAGTAGCCCAAGCCTCTTAAAACGTCCACAAGAAACAGCCATACCATCAAAGACCAACTTTCTACCCCCTAGGTATTTACGACTGCAGTACTGCTTTATTGCCTTTTGTGTCGACTTCATTTCAGATTAATTCCTTGGCTAATGTTATTCTTTCTCTTTGAAATTTTATAGTTTCTTTTACTGAAATATGTCCTTCTCTCAATGTTCTCTGTAGCTTGCTTTTCTGAAATATGGTCTCAAAGAACGAAATTAAAAAGGCCTTTTACAAGAGGAGCTACAAGCCAGCTGGATTTATCAGAAAGACAAGGACAGCATTTTTCACTTCGCTGAAGGGACAGCTCACCTTCAAAACACAAACTATGGATATTTCCATGCTGTCAACTGTAGGAAAGCTTTCTGTTACATACAGCACTGATGTTACCCGTCTGTCATGGGTTTGGAGGGAAAGTTCCATCCTATGGGGAGTGGAAGGCGGGACATCAGGAGGAGGGGCTGTACTGTATATATATGTGGAGTTTGTGTGGAGAAGTTAGGAGAAGCTGGAGGAGAAGCTGGGAAGAAGAAGCTGGTGTGGGAGTCTG